TTTGAGTGTTAGTCTGTATCTCAACCCCTGTATACACAGGTTACAGTCTTGGCAATAATACGCCACAATACATGTATTTTCTCTTTGATAGCAGAAGGATGCTTTTGCTAGCTATAGGAACTGCATGTGTATTGGTGATTTGGGTAACAGTGAGGCCATGGAGGATGTACTCAAGACAGAAGCAGCAACAGGGAGTTGGGATGTGGAAGGAGAGGATGCTTCCAACCCACCCTCTAAATCCCTGCTATCAGAGTCCTCCAGGGTTGGCCATCCACAGCAATCATCTCACCAACAAGGTGAGTGACTGCTTCCTGGGCTCTCCAAGTAGCCCTTTTGACCTCTTGAAGGGTGCCTTCCTTGATGTCACACCCCATATAGGATCCTGCCCCCCAAGCCGGGACAGATCAGGGGAAGGAGGCTCCGGGATCGGTGGTGATGCCCTGCTAGGACTGGGCTCCAGCTTTTTGCCTCTGTGGAGAGACCCCGGGACAGATCAGGGGAAGGAGGCTCCGAGATCCCTGGTGATGCCCTGCTAGGACTGGGCTCCAGTGGGCTGGCAGGATGGGTATGGTGCGCAGGGATGGGGGTCTATGGTATGCAGGGGGTGGAGGACTTCTTCCCCCCCCCATAACAAGCACCCTTTGCACCCATTTTCACCCTCATGGCATACAGAGGTGTTCAGGTAGTTGAAGCAAGCAAAGGAGTGGCTTTTAACACTTTGTACTGCATAAACCATATTTTGTAGTACTGGGAGCAATCCTGAGAGCTTGCTGCAAAGGCTACTTCTCTGCTTCCCTTGCTCATGTGTTGTGGCTAGGGTGTCTGCCAAACTGTCATGAGGTTACTTTGGGAAGCCCCTGTCAGAACTCTGGGATATGTCTGCCTTTCTGTCTTTCAGAACCTGCCTTTGGAGACTTGGAGAGGCTGCAAGCATAGAGTGGATTGCTTGTCTTGCTTCCAGTCTCTGTCTGAGGGAGGGGATCTGTCCAGGTGAAGTTTCCCTGTGAGTTTCGTGTCACTGGCTTGTTCCTAAATTGTCCCATAGACTCCAGTAACTGCAGCTGTCTTTTCCAGAGAGAGCACTGGGAAGAACCTTTTGAGGGACCGCAGAAATGTAATCCACTCCCAACTTGGAGAGATTGTAGAGGAACGGGTGGCAGGGTGAGGTCCCCTTTCTGTTTGGTGTGTATAGCATGCAGGGGGTCCATGCTATACACTTCTGAACCTGTGCCTGACATTTCCCTCAACTTGGATCATGTAAATTCACTCCACACCAAATCTGGCAGACACGTAGGGGAGAGTCAGCTGGAGAACTGCTGCAAGTCTGATATCTTTAGCCTATATAGCCATTCGATATACTCCTGAACCTCTGCCTGTCATTTCCCCCAAAAGCACTTTCCTGGGGGTACCTCTTTTTTGGGGGGCATAATTTAGACCCCATATATGCAATCATCACCAAACGTGGAGGACAAGTAGAGGAGTATCAGCTGTAGTTCTCCGGTGAGTTTGGTGCCTCCAACACACCGGGGGGTGGGGGATTCTACCATGTCATGAATCTCATGAACCAAACTTGTTCACTTAGTACCAAAAAGTCTGTGACAGTTCATGGTTCGCAAACCGGGCACATCATGAACCACACTGAACCACATTTTCCCAGTTTGTGCCCATCCCTACTATCTATATACAAGAAAACCGGCTTATGATTGAATTGTCTGAGATAAATCCAATATTTTCTGCCATCATGCCATTTCATTTACTTTCAGGTATGTCTGATTTTGCTTTTGATCTGACATGCACTTTGTTATGCCTTATTAAACAACCAATCAGTTTGCCCATGTAGTCAGCACTGTTCCTCCTGCTTATTTAAAACAAAACATATTTGTATTCTTTTTCTATTGTACTGAAGTGATTTATCATTTCTACTATAAGTATATTGTTGACAAGCTGAGCCAATGAAGTTCTTAAGCCTATCTTAATGTTCTCTGTGATAGTTTAGAATAAGCTAAGAATTTAGTTAAATTTATTTTATTTGTACTGCCCTTTGTTCCCAATTTTCTGAAATAAAAACAAAGTCCCATGTTAGTGGTGTTTTTATGTAACTGACTTTTAAACTAGAAGAAAAAACTGAAAAAGAGAATAATAAATTCAGATAAATTTTGTATCTTTCTATCAAGCAAGTGGGAACCCTTTTTCTTCCATTTTTCCTTTAAAATGAGAAAGGTATGTTCTGGTCTGTTTTTTTTTAAATCCTTAGTTCATTGACTATAATAGTTTTTATAAATCTATCTTATTTAAACACACCGTTTTAAAGATCTGCGCACCCAGTTTGAAGGCATGACAGAAAGCAGAGCTGTAGATCTCTTTTGCTAACTTAAGCTCTTGCTTCATTTGTGTGACTGTGTGTTTTTTAGCATGAAAGGCCTATTTTAATAGTCCGGACGTTGATGATAGTTTAACAAACTTTGCAGGAGCATGGTTTCCAATAATGGAGTTTTTAGCTTCTAATAACATCCTACCTCCAAATAAGCTGTACAAGGAATTTTTGATCTTGTAACAGACCCCTGTGAAATGCACAACAATTGACCCTGCAGATGGCTTATTTGTTATTCGGGAATACTGTGAGAATGATCCTCAAATTACTTATTAATATGTACTTATTATGTTCGTTATGTTTAATTTTTTTATGGTGATGTAAACAAATACATCTTGTTTATCATACTTTTATTACTACAATACATTTTAAATGGGGAAAAAATAAAATGCATATTGGAATGGGGTTATAATGTTTAGCAGCGGGCTTTCTCAGGTCTGATCTCAGTAAGAAGATTCTCACATAGAAGCAGGCATCTGCATGTCTCTCAGTCCATGGATCAGGAACTGTGGATGAAAACTGGATGCACATCCTGAGAATCCCTTATGTTGTTTTCACCAGGAACATGCATTCAAATGGGCATGCCCATGCATACTTTCGTACTCCTAGTCATATGAAAATATGTTTTAAATTACTATTTCGTCTCAATATAATCAGAGCGCCCAGGCAATCACCCTAGATTTTGTGCAATGGCATCCTTCTGCCCCACTCTCCACCAACCTCCCAACACCAGATAAGCAGCCAACCGCCTCTCACTCACCACTGTGCCATTGACCACAGAGCTCATGCAGACAGTCATAGAAGATGAACAATCATTTTAAGAATTAAAAACAAAGCCCATAAGAACATCTAAATATTAAGACAGTATCTTCTTGCAATAATATTATATCTGGAGCACATACACACATAGAATGAATGACAAGCAGGTAAGCAAGGTAGGCAGATTGGAGCACCGCTGCCAGCTGTAACATCCTGGCTGTGCTTTCGTTCTAGTCTTCCTGTCCCAGATATATATCTTGGCCATGGCCAAGAAGTGCAAGCCCTTGGCCGTGAGCCATATGGATCTTAGCCTTTGGCTTTTAGCGTGTGGCTCCTACCCCGTGGCCTGCACTACTAGTCTGCTGGATTCTGAACTGGCCCCCAGGATATAGTGTGTCCTTGTCATTTCTTTACATAAATTTAAATTGTATTTTATTGAGTCTAATTGTATTTTATTTGTTGTAAGCAGTTTTGAGTCCCGTTACAGATTGGGTATCCTAACAATGCCATCCAAATCAGAGTTACAACCTCCTAAATCCGTTCAAATCAAGGTGCTTAGAAGGATATACTCTGTTTAGGATGGCACTGAAATGAATGGAAAACGTGAGTACACCGACATAAAATGATAGTGAAGAGCTGTTCATTTGATCTGTCCAAGTGGGTTCTAGTCCTCAAAAGCTTATGCTGGAATAAAATGTTCTTTGTCTATAAAGGTCACAACACTAGTGTTTGTGGGGTTTTTGGTTTTTTGTTTCATTTTCAGTGACTTATAGCACCATTCTAAGCCAATTCATTTCAATGGACTCAGAATGACAGAACACTACTTAGGAGGACATTGTTACTTACTTTTCACTTATCCTTTGGCTACCTGAATGCATAATTATTTATTAATTATTCTACTTATTGGTTTCTATAGTTGCATATATTTGCTTATATAGTAACAAGGATGGAAAGGCAGGGAAAGGTGGGGGGTGGCAATACAATAGATTAAACTCACTTGACACTGACTTTTTAAGTACATTTTGGGAGCAATCTTATAACAGATCTGCTTATACGTAAGCCCCATTTTATTCAATGAGGCTTGCTCCCAGGAAAAAAAAATGTTCTTAGGAATCTAGCCTTTTGTTACTTACTCCCAAGGATGGGAAGGCAGAGAAAAGAGAACATAAATATGATACGGATATAATGAATTCCAAATAATTAGAGAAGCATTTAAGGCTGAAGCCATGATTTTTTTTTAAAAAAATTGTTTTGTATGAAACTGGTAAATGACGTCAAAACCAGAACTTCCTAAAATTTAAGAAATATGTTTAAGATTTTGAGAAAAGTCTTGTACCAGTTCCTTCTAGTGGGTGTTCATTTATTTAAATGCTCTATTCAATTTGTAGTCCTAGTTGGGGGGGGGGATCAGTTTTTCATGGGCACTGGAATACCACCAGACATTAGCAATTTCTATAACCCTATCCCTAGTACATTGCTTATTAGATGTCTCATCCTATTGATCACATCAACTTTCACTGTGTAATCCACCTTCAGTCTACTTGAGAAAGGTGGACTATGAAACATAGTAAAATAAAGAAAATCATCATGAATTTACTTTATCCCATTTCAGGAACAGAAAACACAGGTGTTAAGCCTTCTTATTTCCCACAGTCTGCAATGGAGTTTATGATGCATCACAATAAAAGCAGCCCTCAAGTCTAAATAGACACTTTTCTTACTACTTATTCTTAGACCTGCTAATTTTATCTGTTATAGAAAACCTGGTAAGTAATGCCACAAAACAAACTTCCAATATACTGACATAATCCAACTCACATCAAACATATTCTAAACTGTTAAATAATGGAAGGATAAACTGTAGTCCTACCCTTAACATTTCTTCCACACAGCTGTCATTTTCTGTCCCATTCTCCTGTAAACAAAGAAGAAACGGGCAATAATTAATACAATGGTTGACTATATGCCTTCAGGCACCACATATGCAATGCTAACGTGATGTTTGTTGATTGTTATTTTATTTAAAATCTTTTAACCCCTTTTCAGTATAGACCAGGATAGTGTACAAACCAGTCAAAAGGCAAGAGAACACAGGAAAACAATACAATAAAGCACAAGCTCAATTAGAGCAACAACCATAACAGCTGCTTGCCTGTAAAGCAAAACCAACTTAAAAGCATAAAATCTTATCTAGCAAAAGCCCACTGAAAAAGGACTGCTTTGCATGTTTTATTAAACAGAAATAAATAGTTGTAACAAAACTGGTGCATGGGATCACAGAGGGAGAGAAGACCCTCCAGATACGTCGGACCCAGGTTGTGACAAGCTTTAAAGATAGGAAGTAGCATCTTGAATTGAACCTAAAAATAAATGGGCAGCCAGTATGGCAGTGTTAGAGTTGATGTAATGTGTACAGAATGACTAAGCCACATTTGGCACCAGTTGAAGTTAGCAAGTTGTCTTCAAGGGTAGCCCCAGGCAGAGTGCATTACAATAACTCAGTTCAGAGGTTACAGAAATTTGGATCAATGTGACCAAGTCTGTCCAGAAAGGAAGACTGTTTCTGATTCAAGTGAAGACAAAAGATAATATGATTTCATCTGAGATGGAACAGGCCTGCTTTAACTTGCAGACCCTGCTCTGCCCACCCCTCCTTGGCATTGCCAAATTCTGGAGGGGTTTACCACTTCCTTCCACTAGAGTACTCACTGTCACTACCTCTTCATTTTAGGGATTTCCCACTGGGATGAACAGGATTCCCAGTTCCCCTTCCTGTTCCTGAGGCCTGGCCTTGGTATCTCCTGCTATCCAGAGACTGGTTACCATTAGGACCAAATACTGTTTTGGGGCTCTCCTGGAGAGATAGCCACATGCACACACTGCTTCCATCTTCCCTGGGGGGCCCTTCTGCAATAGTGTGCCTGAGATGGTGAAGCATCTATGTGGTACAGAAACATATGACCAATATCCAAAGTTAAAAAGGATTTATTAAAAGGAAAATGTACAGCACTATATTAGCAACTGAATTTCAAAAGAAAACTGGTCATAAATGCAACCCCCTTTCCCTGTTCTACAAATGCCCTAACTGATGTTAAAACAGGGCAGATACTAATAATCTTTAAAAGTTACAAGGTTCCTCTCTATGTTCCATTATCTGGGAGACCGTATGTTCAGAAAAAGAAGGCCAACATGACTGATCATTGCTCAGAGATCTGTTCTCTTCGAAGAATCAACACCAAGAGAACCTTCCTTCTTAGAGAAAGGGCTTTTATCAAACTTGTGTCTCCACCCCTTTTGCATCCCTCCACCCTCTTGACCCAGTCCGCCCACATCGCAGGTGCATCCTGGGAGCCCTCCTGGAAGGCATTCTGGGAAATCTCAAGGAATTGACTGGAGACTTCTTGGCACCAAATTTCTTAGTTAGTTTTTCTGCCTGGGCCATTAGCATAGGTATAGATGTAATCTAGCAGGCAATTGAACTGGCTTCAAGAGGGGGAGGGAATCACTTTTAAGACTCAGTGTGTGTGTGTGTGTGTTGGGGGTTTTCTCCACATCATCCAATGTAATTACTAACATCAATCCCCCCCAGAACAACAACCTTCCAAACCAACATCATCTCCATCTACTCTGGAGTAAATTTTAGTTTGTTTCTGCTCATCTGTCTGGCCACAGCTTCAGGACCAAAGCAGCGGCTTTTGGAGGCTAACGTTCAATATACAGTTGGGTGTCATTCATATACTGATGACACTGAACTCTAAAGCTATAGGTAACTGAATTAAGTGGCTTAAGATAAATATTGAAGAGCACTGGTATGAGATTGAGCCTAGAGAAGCTCTACATTTCAGATATGACAACAATGACTCAGTATCCCAAGGGCATCTGTTTGTGTCTTCTCATAGAATAACAGAATGTTAGAGTTGGAAGGGACCTTGCAGGTCATCTAGTCCAACTCCCTGCACTCTGCAGGAGCCTAGCTGAAAGATAGCCCTATAATATACCCAAAAGATGGTCATCCAGCCTCCACTTGAAAATGTCCAGCGAAAGAGCATCCATCACCTCCCGAGGCAGTCTGTTCCACTGCTCAACCGCCTTACAGTTAGGAAGTTTCTCCTGATATTTAGCCGGTATCGACTCCCTTGTACTTTCCACCCATTAGATCTAGTCTTTCTCCAACAAAGAAAGACTTAAACCATCAGATAATGTTGCCTGAGATTTGCACCTTCTCTCCCAAGTGCTTCAGTAAGATTGAATAGCCCACAGTATCAAAAGTCATACACAGATAGGAAGTGGAGGAGCAAAAATCCTTTGCAATGGAGATCATCAAGCAGAAGAAGAAGTAGAAGAGTTGGTTTTTATACTTTGCTTTTCTGTACCTTAAGGAGTCTCAAAATGGCTTACAATCCCCTTCCCTTCCCCTCCTCACATACTGATACCATTCCCCAGGTGAGGGCGGGGGATTCCCTGCATTTGCAGACTCCTGCCTGCTTCCAGACACCTGGCTGGTGGGAGGAAATTCCACCCACTCCTGATGCTGTATGCGATGCGCTGACATCACCCAGAAGTTATGTCAGTGCATCGGTGATGTCAGGGGGGCATCACTCTGCTTTTTGTGCAAAACTCTATGGTTTGAGGATGTTTTTACCATAGAGTTTTGCCCCAAAAGCAGAGAGTTTCCACTGATGCAGTGATGTCAGCATGTCACTTGAGTTCCTGCCCACCCTTGGAACACCTCCCAAATCCCCCCACCAGTGCAACAAAGGGACCTGGCAACCCTATCCCCACAACAGGAACCTTGTGACTGGCTCAAGGTCACCCAACAGGCTTCATGTGAAGGAGCGGGGAATCAAACCCAGTTCTCCAGATTAAGATCCACTACAGCTCACTGGCTCTTAACCACTACACCACTACAAACAATGTCTCAGTCGAAAGCATGAACAAAATCCAATTGCAAAGGGTCAAGGATGGATGTGTCATTCTTACATTATTAGTTTCTTTTCCCTAGGACATTTTCCCATAATATTAACTGAATTTTAAAATAGGAATTAACATTTTACTTATAGCACTATAACATAATCTTATGTCTCTTTTAGTCTCTTAAATATTAGTAACTATTATCTTAGGTGTTTCATATTAAGTTTCTAAAGTGGATTAAAATATGAAAATATTCACATAAAACTAAACAATAGTCACCAATACAGTCAGAAACCAAATACAGTCACACACAAAAAACAGTCACAAGATTACTCAGTCGGTCAAACAATAAATGCTGTAAAAGGCCCTAAAAAACAAACTTATTTATCTACAAAATATACCCTGCCTTGGTGGCCCTCATCAGGGCCACCAAGGCAGCTAACAGATTAGAGACATACTTAATAAAACTACATCTTAAAAAAGCACCAAGAAAAGCACATCATTAAAACAATTTTAATCAAATTAAAATACAGATAGAATACAATTCAGGGCTCTTTTTGTAGAAAAAGCCCAGCAGGAACTCGTTAGCATAATAGGCCACACCCAACACCAGAAACTCATTAGCATATTAGGCCACACCCCTGCCAGCACAGCTCATTAGCAAATTAGGACGCACCCCCATGTTCCCAGAAGTGTGCTCATCCAGCCACACCCACCTTCTGCTTGTTATTCTGTTTACCTTGTTTGTTGTCAAAACCCAGGGCTTTTTTGTAGCAGGAACTCCTTTGTATGTTAGGCCACACACCCCTAATGAAGCCAATCCTAATGAGTTTCTGCTGTTGGGTGTGGCCTATTATGCTAATGAGTTCCTGCTGGGCGTGGCCAACTTGGGAGCCAGCTGGAACTCCGTTCCTGTGCGTTCCTGCCCAAAAATAGCCCTGAATGAAATACACATACATTAAAAAACCTAAAACAGGCCAGGAAGGCAGGATCACTGAGGGAATGCCAGAATAAACAAACAAACAAACAAAGAAGTCTTCATCCACTGGAGGAAGGCTGCATCAGAAGGGGACAGGCAAGTCTGTTTAGGGACACAGTTGTAGCGTTTTGGTGCCATGACCAAGAAGACCATCTCTCAGGTTGCCACCTGCCTATCCTTAAAAGATGGAGGCACCTGAAGCAGGACCTTGGAAGATGAACACAGCAGTCAGGTAGGTTTCTAAGGGAGCAAGTGGTCCTTTAGATATGCTGGTCCCTTAAAATTGTTTTTGCTTTTTGACTAAAACCAGTCAGAGCACTTATCAGTTACACAGAGATGGGAAAGGAATTAAAAAGTTATCACCACTAATCATAATGGCCACCTGTGGCTCCTCCATGGTACTGAAACTGCTGCTGCTGTCACCTTCTTGCTGGCCTCCCACTCCAGCCCTACACATCTGTCTCACCTCTCTTCGCTGTCCTGCCCATCCTTGCTTGCTCACTCCTGGACTCACATAAGCAGTTTTAAATGAGCCTTGGGAGAGTAACCACTTATGCGCTCACTGCTAAAAGGTTAAAAAAAATGGCAGCAAAACCAGAAATGAGCCATCTGACTTCCCAAAAGGCTTCACTCTGCAAGAGAGCGATCAGACACTTGCAGAAGCACTGTGAAACCAGTAGGATACGTAAATACTGGACTTTATGCAGTATCAGGAAAGTTGGGGGTGAGCACGGTAGCCCAATGACTGGGGAACAGCCAGGAGTCAGATATGACTGTCTGGATGTGCATATTAGATCTGTTGGGGAGAAGCAATGACAACAGATCAAATAGCTCGTCTGATTGCAGCCTAAGACTCACTATGGTACTTGTCAATACTGGTGCCCAGTGACCCTGCCCACTTTCTGAAAAACTTGAACGACACCAGGGGAAGGACTAGCAGGCACCACAACACTCAAGGGAACCACATTTGGAACCCTGATCTGTAGCATATCACTCTGCTTGAAACTGCACTGCATTCAGTT